TAATAAAAAAGGTAAAAATGAGGTGAAGCTCTGTACTACGAAGGAAGTTAGCTCCAAAAGGTTAGTGGTTGGTTGACAACGTTTCATTAAGCCGTGGTGACAAGGTGATATATTTGACCTATAAAGGTGCTGCAAATAAAGAGTAATAACATTTTCAAAAAGCTTAGGGATAGCCGACAATTTAGAGATATCTCTGAAATGGCTTGCATCCAAATAGTTACTTTTATTATGGAGATGTACATATGGGGTAACTGCGGTTTCTAGAGATAAGGTAAACAGTTGTACAGTACAGTAGTTGTACAGTAGTTTAGAATATCCATAACTAAGTCTCTGTAAACACAATGACACGAGATGCAAAGAAAAGGCTATAAAGGCCTCTTGCATTTTAATAAGTGAAGCCAGATGTTAATTTTTTAAAAAATTAGTAGAAGACGAGGATGCAGCAGTGGTGTGGCGATGTGAGGAAAGTTTGATTGCCAAATCCTGAAACTGGAAATGTCCCTAGCGTAAGAATTTTTTCCACTTTTAAGCTTTTGTTTTTTCTTGTATATAATATTGTCATATATCAGATGATGTTTTATCAGGGAAAGCTGGGAAACGAAAATTTTATTCCTTAGTGGAACTACCGAGAGGGGTTTTGCACCGCAGATTGTGTTTCTAATTTTATGTTCAGATGATGTTTGATCAGGGGAACCACCATGAGGACTTTTGGCACTGCAGATTGTGTTTCTGAAGAGCCAACTTGTGCCGCTGACCGGACTCAATATTCTCTTGTGGTGGTAAACTAATCGGGACAAGTGGATTCACTGGTTTTTAAACCAGTGTAGACAAATCGGTATCTCTAGCAATCCCAAGCTATACACCCTCCACAACGGATTGATCAGATTGCTCCGAATCCTTTTTAGCTGTTGATCTAGAAATATTGAGGGTTTGCTGCGATCGACAACTTATTAGCTGTGGAGTCCTGTTGATCACTTGTCCTGTTCCTACCACCAGCGGTTTTTTTTTCGCTCTTGGGAGTCCTCTTATATCTTACGACAGATCAGTCGCTACAAGAAAACTTGTTTCACAGACAACAAATGATTTTTAGTTGCTCAAACTGACGGCATTTGTTTGGGAAGCATACAATATTTTTGTCCAGTTCGGGCCACTGTACAAAGAAAACCAAACAGAAACTGAATGAAAATTCCAATAATTCTATTTCCTAGTACTGGAAAACATATTCGCGTGATAGTCTACATAAATATATTCGTTGATGTAAAATCAAAAAATGTATCATATACTTTAATCTTATTTGTAAAGGAGTTAAAGTGAGCTGAAAAAATGACATATATAAACAAATAATATGGTATATATATGGTTTGAAAATCGTGTGGGAGAGAAATGAATAACTCCTGTTACCCGTTCGTGTCCAGAGCCCGGAGGTATGCTCACTCTGGATATGCGATCCATCGCAAAATATATGCAACTGGAGAGACACATTTTTGAATAAGTCAAATCTTAGCCAGCGTAGGACATGGATTTGTTGGCCTTTGGGAACTGATTGATGTATTGCTGCCACATTACAATAATCATTCTGTAAAGCTGGGCCATTGTTGTTGTATAGGCTTTCCTTATGCAGGAGGCACCGAAAACTACACGTAGCTTAGTGGTGAGACTATCCCCCTTTATGGCTGCATGGTGCGGAATTGTGGATACAGGAAAGGTTTGATGGTGAAGTATTCGTTTCTATGCGTGGAAACGATTTAAGTCGATTTGTCTGAATCGTCTGAGAACTTAAGAAGGATTATTTAAAGTGTGGAACGGCAAGCGGACGATGAATTTTACCTTTGGTTGACGAACAGTTAAGTTGGAGTTAGTTGTCGCTTAGTGGGAGCGATACGTCCACATAGAGTAAAGTTGGGATCAGGTGTTTGCAATCCTTGAAGGTGTTGATATGTGGGAAATTCAATGTCTCTTCTGGTAATATGACCGGTAAGTGTACTTAAAATGAATGCCATGGCTCCAAGGATGTATAGTTGGATCTGGAGCAGGAACATAATATTATAATTATAATATATAATAAGCTCCGTGCTGTGTCGACACTTGTTTTGAGAGGATCGGCCGATACCTGTTATGTCTGCTAATATAGGCCGTCGTGGAAGACCTAGATTTTATACAAGCCTTTCAGTGACGAGCATACCTTTGGAACTATGGTTAATAAGTGCCCTCGCAAAACTTGATTGAGCGATGTTATGGCAATGGTAATCTGTACTGCAGCTGTAGCCAACAACGCCATTGTGTTGTGTGGCAACTGCACTGAGAAGTTTCGTCTCAGGAGAAACAAATGAGCTGTAAGCTACCCTGTTGGTCGTCCCGCACGCTACGGACACCGTTAGACATTGGTTGTCACGCAAGGTCAGGGCTTGATCCAGATGAGCTAGATAATGCCGTGCTGAGACCATTCAAACATGCCATGATCCGATCAATGATCGTCTTATGAGCAAAGTAAAATCTGGACATCGACGAAGAATGCTGTTCCTTTGGCAGAGTGTATACCGTGCTGTGTTCGGCGATTAAATGGAAGCTGTATTTTCGGTAAGGAGTGTTATTGCTCGATTTATTGATTGCACTCACCATGGGCGACCGAAAAGTCGTTGGTTGGTTTCGACATTCGATTAAATCGATGCTGACTAGACATTTAAGAAAGAAATTCTCCAACAAGGCAAAGGTAAGAATCTCGACAGAGCTTTTCAAAGAGTGCTTCCAAGCTTGTGTAGTGATACTTGGAAGCTTTGTTAACAGATGGCGCAGGGATCGCAGGAGTCGATGCTTAGTTTTCGCTTAGCTTCGCAAGTTGCTGATGCAGACAAGCTAAGTTGATCACCCCCCTGAGACCTTCATGTAAGCTGGTTCGAGTCAGTAGAGTGCCGTCATAGTTTGCATGAACTGAAGTCGTGAATTGTTGCAGCGTGTGACCACAGGATCCCAGGCAACAGTGTCAACAACGGCAATTTCCGTCAGAACCATGTGACTCAGTAAAATTTCTTAATGTTTTGTGAATAGGCTGCAAGAAGCTGCCGTAGAAAGATAGCCAATCATTGAAACTGCCTGAGAAATGAGGATTTATGGGCTTTGACAATGGAATGTTCGAGCTGGTTGCTGGTGCCGGGTTTGACGGGGGCTAATCTTCCCATAAAATCCAACTGCATTGCATGAAGGCTAGCAAATGCATCGGAACCGGCAGCGTTTGGATTCTGTACCCTTATGTTTTCTTCTTTGCTCATAGTTTGTAGTTTGAAGTCTTACTACGCACGTTAAATACCTACCTTCTTCCAGTCGGTTGCATGAAACTGAGAATAAATATTCGTATCCGTTCTTCGTAGCTCCGCTATGTATAACTCCGTTATGTGGGGGATGCTGACGTCACTGGCACACGTGGTGTCCAGATATGTAGTCAGAATGTTGACAAAATGCCGTTCGGAATGCTGGATTGTGTTTAATAAGTCCGCAGATACCAATTTTTTTTTCAAGTTCACTTCATAAAATAAGCAATTGAGCAGTTCCCCTCATGGGCCAACAAAATTGTAAGTGCGCCGAAATGGTCGGGAGTCAAAGATAAGCTCTGGGGACTGGCTGTGATTTATGGGATGAAAACATAAAAGCGAAAACAATGGAATTCAATTTAGGTAAAGAAACGAAAAAATGTGCGGCAAGTTTAGAGATTTAATCTTCTTCCTCTGTACGAATCGACTGTAAAAGTGAACAATCGCCCGTATAAAAACATTTTTCAAAAGTGTGGGCGTGTCAGTTTTGGGATTTGTGGGCGTTACAAAAAGTTGTTTGAAAAAATCGATATAAAGTTAAAAGACTAATTAATTAACAAATTAGTATCAAAACATTTTTCAAAAGTTTGAGCGTGTCAGCTGTGGCCGGATTTATGGCGGTAGAATGAGCGTGGCAACGTTCTGAAACAAACTTGGGCAGAGTATACGTCTCCAGAGCCTGCACATCAAGTTTTAATTAACTAGCTTTTCTAGTTGCTTAGATCTCGACGTTCATACAGACGGAAATGGCCAGATCGACAAGGGTATAGCTCCTGATCAAGAATATACAGGGTGCGTTATGAAAGTAATGCGCATGGTTTCATTGTCACGTATCTACCTGTCGTAGTACGCTCGGACCTGTCTGAAAATTTGGGGCGGAGTCTCTCCTTTCCAACGCGCTCGGCGAACGTTTTCATCAATTCGTGCTGTTGTTGGACGTCCGGAACGTGGATCGTCGGTGACCTCCTCTCGACCCTCCTTGAAGGCCTTGTGCCACCTTCCACACTGAGATCTCGAAATGCACTCCTCCTTAAAGGCCTCTCGAAGCATTTGATAAGTTGCCGATGCATTTTTGCCAAGTCGCACACAAAACTTTATGGCGTACCGCTGTTCCAGCGAACGCTCCATCGCACCGTGACACAACAGAAAAAATGACTTCGCTCTACGACACGTCCTACCACTTCTATTGCTCGGAGCAAACTGAGACCGAGCGCGTTGGAAAGGAGAGACTCCGCCCCAAATTTTCAGACAGGTCCGAGCGTACTACGACAGGTAGATACGTGACAATGAAACCATGCGCATTACTTTCATAACGCACCCTGTATATAGTTTACGCTTCCTTCTAGCTGTTACATACTTTTTAGGAATCTAGTATAACCTTTTACTCTTCGAAATTAAATTTTACCGATATTTATCAACTCAAAAAGGATTTTTGGCAAATCAATACAAAATTAACAAGACTAATAAAAATGATTTTTTTAAATTTTGGGCGATTTATAGGAGTTTGAGTAAGAGTGGCAACATCTGGAAGGAAATTCAATTTTCATCTTTCATACGGACGGAGGGCCAGATACTTATCTGCGAGTTTAGAATAGCCTATTACTTAGAGAATAAAAACTGCGTTTTACCCAAAACGCAAAGGCGTAAATTTACTGTAAATACTTTCTGAGTCATAAATTTAGTTTATTGACTTACGTTTTCGAGTGACTTGAATTTCATTTAGCTGATCGTTTCTTTTTTGTGACAGATTAACAAAATGATTCTGCAGCATAATCCAAAACTGCTGATGTTCACGGACTTGAAGTTCTCCTATGTGAATGGATTTTTCAATTTGTTTAATCTGAAAATAATGTTTAACAATTAATAACAGTCGATTTTCTTGACATAAAGCAAATTAATAAATAATATTTGTGTGAGTACGGTTAAGAAAAAATAGTACAAATCTGGTACTTGTCAGGTGCCGTAGTTGTGTCAGCAAAATCCAAGTACTATAAATATATGAGTTAAAAAAAGTACTTTTTGCTAAAATATAATAAAGTGTATGACTTGAATAATTTAAGAAAAAAGGATATACTAAATTCGTTGAAAAGTGTGTACATGTGAAAGGAAGAGTTACCGGGTCGAAATGATCAGTTCCATAATCTGTCCATAAAAGTTTATTATTTGTATTTCCAATTTCTATTTATATGGAAAAATTACTTGGCCACCCCCACTTAAGCTATCAAAAAATAAAGATATTAAGACGTACCGTAACCAATGCCGTCAGAGAGTCGTAAGCAATAAGCTTAAGCTAATCTAAGAAAAAGTCGCTTCTCTCCCGGGCGCTGCGTCCGAGATCTCGACGTTCATACAAATGGACAGAGGAAGAAACAGACAACCGAGTCTGTCTGTCAAAAATATATTTAGTGACATATGTATCATTGAAATACTTGTCAACACATACAGACACACATAGGACATACAGTGGTGGAAAAAATAATAGAAACAAGAATCGCTCCTGCATGTAAAACAAAATTACTAATTATGTACGAAGTGTGTGTGGATAAACCTTTAGCATATAAGCCACTCATAAGGGTACTTTATTGTGCACTTCTTTTTGAGTTGATTTCGATCTTGTTATTTGCGATACATTGCGATATTTGAAGTGGTCACGTGTTTGAGCTGGAAAAAATAATAGAAACAAGCTACGTTTCTGCGATTTGTTTTTTTTTTTCCTTTTAATTTTGTAAGTAAATCAATATATTAAATACTTTCAGGTATGTTTAGCTCATAATAAGTGATTTTGAAAAAAAAAAGTGGTTAATTCTGAATGCATTCGGCTTTTATATTCAGAATGGGGCTCGGAGTGCACTGTTCACCTGTAGAACGAGATATTATAAAAAAAACTAAAAAACTAAGGAAAAACAATAAGGGAAATTGCTGAACTAATGCACTGCTCTGCAAAAAAAGTGTTTTCCGCGATTCATTATAAAGATACGAAGGAGAAACGGGGCAGGTAGAGAGCCACATCCCAAAAGTTCGAAGACCTTTTGATTCGAACATCCAAAAAAAATCCTTTTATGTCGTCGACGGTACTAAAAAATACTTTCCAGACATCAGTGTCAAGTCGAACAATAAGAAATAGACTAATTGGAAAGAATTTGAAGGCACACTCGGCTAGGAAAGTTGCACTGCTTAGTAAAAAAATATCACTAAAAGACTGTCTTTTGCAAAGCGACACCTAGACCGTAAAAACTGGAATAATATTCTATGGTCTGATGAAACTAAAATTAATTTGTTCGGATCTGATGGTAAAAATTATGTAAGACGTCCAAATAATACCGCATTTGATCCAAAGCACACAAAAAAAAAACAGTAAAACCTGGTGGAGGTAACATCATGATATGGGGATGCTTTTCCGCGTCTGGAGTTGGTCCGATATTCCGGATAAAAGATAGGATGTGTGCTCCCGACTACTTTAACATATTGGAGAATGTTATGAAACCATATGCTGAGGAGGAAATGCCCTTAAAATGGGAGTTCATGCAGGATAATGATCCAAAACATTCGTCAACACTTGCTAAGAAATGGTTTCAGGACCAAAAAATTAATGTTATGGAGTGGCCGGCCTAATCCCCGGACTTAAACCCCATAGAACATTTATGGGGAATATTAAAAAGAGGAATTGGAGGTTTTAAATCAAAAAATAAGGAAGAGCTGTGGGAAAAAGTTAAGTCACAGTGGTATGCCATTAACCCCGAAATTTGCGCCAATTTAAAGTATTCAATGCCCCGTCGATGCTCAGCAGTTATAAAAAATAAAGGAAATACCTTTAAATATTAAAATTACAAAATGACGTATTTCTTAGTTTTAAGAGTTTTGTCTCTATTATTTTTTCCAAGAGCCAAAAATTAAGTTAATTATTTTTAGTTAATATAAAGATGAAAAAAATATTTTTGTTCCTTAATGTGAAATATACTTATATATGAATTTAAAAAAATAAAGATTAAAAAATATTACTTTCGTTCAACCAACGTGTTTCTATTATTTTTTCCACCACTGTATGTACCGCAGCATCATTATGGGGAATTTGACCTGTTTTGTTGCATAAATTAATATCTCGTAAACTATTTAAGATACGACGATAATTTTTTTTCTAGTCTGATATACACCTTAAAAATTATTTTGGCAATATTGGTGTGTGACCACCACCGACCAAGCTCCCACCCCCAATATATTTATTTATCTAATGTGTCTATTTTAACGTTAAAAATAAGTCATTTTCATATATGAGGATCATTTAAACATTCGTTTGCATGTTCAAATTCGCACGAAAACAATTCAGTGAATTCCCGCAGAAGGGGAGATGCCTAAATTTAGAGCTGATATTATATGGAGTCCGAATTTTTCAATCCTCTGTGAAACACATCAGTAAGGTGAAATTCAAGCGAAGTTGAGCCAAGTAAGTTCAAGCTTAGATTGCCTTCCGTCCATACCGGTTATTTCGCTGCAACCTTATCCAGCTTTCTGTTGCATATTTTCCATTTATGCAATAAATTCACATAAAATATGCGCTCTTTCTTCCATAAGTGTTTTTAATGAATTTTAAAAATGAGGTCATCGATATGCCCAAAAAAATATTTGAATATGGCATTCAGTTTTTCACGAGCTAGCGTGCGCCACACGCTACCTAAAAATTTAATTTTCGCGAAAAGGCGCAAAAAGTTGCAAATAGGGAATTAACATGGACTAACACACTTACTCAACAAATTTCAACAATTTTTTAAAACTCTTATCAAAGTTGAAATTTTATTTTGAAAGTTGGCCGACGACACTTCTTGCTAAATACACAAATTCTTAAGTTACACGCACCAAATAAGCAACATATTAGTAAAAACACATAGTAGACATCTGAAGAATGAGTATTCATTTCAAATTTGATGGGTTAGGCCTTGTGGTTGAAAGGATATAAATTCTAGTTGGCACAGACGCACAGACTGTGTGCCCTGAGAGCGTGCTCCGGTTTTCGGACAATATCGGACGACGCAGCACAGGTTATAGCTGGAACCATCACAATAGACTTGTTGGCGGTAGAGGCGAAAGAGATTTACGACGAGTAAAACAGATCGGGGGAGAGTGCAGCACTGCTCAGAGGCGAGCCATAAAAGCCAGCGCAGAGACGGTGGCAGCAGTCGACGAAGGGGCGATGGACCTATAGGATAATACCGGATGTGACCAAATGAATCCTAAGACGCCATGGCGAAATAAATTTCTGGCTGAACCAGATCCTAAGCGGTCATGGGTGCTTTAGGAGTTACCTAGCCAGGTTTGGCCACGATGATGACCGCAACTGCCCAGAATGCGGCGTCGGGGAAACCGCCGAGCACATTATTTTGCGAGCGAAGGCTTCATGGAGAGTATAGTGAACCCGTCGATCCTTGGAGAGCGCATGATCTCGGACCAGTCTTTCTGGGGCCAGTTAAGCAATTTCGCTGCGGCGTCGTTGAAGCGGTTGCGTTCAGCTGAAAGGGAGAGAGCCGCAAGGATACGTCCAGCTGAGCGCAGCCTGGCCCTGCGAAGCATAGCCTAGCAGTAGTACTCCAGGAATTTTTTCCCTAACCAAACACACCCCCAACCACCCACAGACACATACCCATGTAAACTTATGTACATATCCATAACCCACCCAAATAAAACCTAATTAAAAAAAAAAACAAATTAAAAAAAAAAAAGAGCGCAGTCCACTTGAACATAGAAGAGACCCACTTGTCTCCGATTTAAAGTTGTATTTTTGCCTTAAAATAAAATTATATTTTTTTTCAAAACTTGCAACCGCGAACTCGTTATTGGCGCAGCCGGTGGTCCTAGTGATAATGACCCGCAAAAGAATCTTCGTGTGTGTTCAACTTCGTAGCAAAAAAGTGCTACGAGAAGTGACTAATCCGCCATACAGCCAGTGCTTAAAAAGTTTTTCAAATCACTTCCAACTCGGTAGCCCACCATATAGTTGTGACCGCTACTAAAAGTTTAATAAATTTTAAATAAGTGCTGCAACCCCAAAACCACTAAAGGGCAACTAAAGCCCCAGGTTTTTTTTTTACCTAACGGAAGACCGCAAATCAAGAAACGTGACCCCTACAAGGAGTGAAAAAACTTTAAAAACAACAACAACGTTTTAATAACAACAACAAGTGCAGTTACTGTCGGAGAATCACCTTAACCAAGCACTCGGTCAAATTGGACAAGTGCCCATATTCACTGGAGTGACACAAGAATTGAGCTCATTCATTTAAAGGATTGAGTTCATATTGCAGCTGTACCCAACGACGGATATCCGCCAGACGCATGTATTCTATAGTGCTATAGAAATGCAGATCAGCGGCGATTTCCAAAGGGTGTCCCAACTAAGTGCGACAAGGACTTGGATGAAGCTGAAGGATGCATTAATATCCGAATTCAAAACCCAAACACCTTTCGAAGAGTTACTAAGACGACTACAGGATCAGTCCGTAAGTTCGTCGAAGAAATTAAACAGAAATGTTTTGTAATTGTTAACAAATTATAAATTAAACAATCAAATATACACGAATGCCATGAACAATACTGGCTAGGTGCAACATAACTTCTGTCAGCCAATTAAAACAAATAGCACAAAAGGAATGCGTTTATGACATTTCATCGTCCGATAGACCTAAAGCTCAAAATGCAAACCAACCCGAAAACAACATAAACTCACTAAAACCAAACTTTACTTCGCAAAACCCAAATAATAATAACCCAACTACTAACAATAAGGGCAAATATAATCCCAACTACAATCAAGCAGCAAGTTTTAGCAATGCTAAACAAAACCAAAGTATTCAGAATAATCAGCAGTTAGCACAGGAACTTAACCAAAAACTTATTGTACAAAATTCCATGAACAATTCACAAGGTCAGGGTTCCATTAACGCTCCAATTCTAGCATTTAAAAGGCAAGACCTAGCACCAGTGGCCAATCTAAAATAGACACTTCAGAAAATTTTCATCAACATGCCTCGGACAGCGAACAGGAAAAAGATCAAGAAGAAAGAAACCCGTTCATAAATGTTATTATGAACAACATTAGGCACAAAATTCCATAAAGTCAGGTTTCCATTAAGGCTCCAAATCCGGCATTAAAGAGGCAGGACTAGCACCAGTGGCCAATCTAAAATGGACACTTCAGAATATTTTCATCAACATGCCTCGGACAGCGAATAGGAACAAGATCAAGAAGAAAGAAAAGAAAGAAAATATTGTAACGAACTGTTTTCCTTAGTTTTGCTCGCTACGAATTGTAACG